CCCCTTTCTCTTTAAATCAAAAAAGGTTTTTTTTTTTTTTTGGTTGGTTTTTTTTTTTTTCTCTCTGCTGGCATTTGGTGCTTTTGGTTAGGTCAGTGGCACGGAGGCTTCTCTCCTGGAAGGAATCAAGAGAGAGTTGTGTCAAGCTTCCCACTCATTTGTTTTCTTTTAATATTTTGCAGCCAAGAAAAAAGAGGAAGAAGAGGATGATGACATGAAAGAGCTGGAAGCCTGGGCAGGAACCATGTAACCACAGCAGTAACTGGCTGGAGAAAAGACTTTGATTACCTGTTCTGGGTGCAAATGTGTTGTGTTGAGGAGAAAGCGTACGCAAAATGTCTTTATCTTTAATTTTAACCCAAAGCAGTGGGAACTGCATTGCTGTTTTCTGCATAGCATGGTCTGCACAAAGGAAAGAAAGGGGAGCAGGGGAAATTGCCTGCGGTTTATATGGCTGACTTTCTGTAAAAAGATATTTGCAAAATCAAACATTCGGCTTTTGGACTGTGCTACTGCCACTGCTGGATCTTCATCTTCAAACATTTGGGCCATATTGAATTGAAACAAGCTGAAAAACTCTGTAATTTTACGTCCGTTTTAGTGTGTCTAGAAGTCTTGTAAGGCATTTAAAACCAGGAGAAGTTGTAAGCCACCGTCGGCTTCTTATTGTGTTTAGGTGCAAGAATGCTTTAGGTTTTTAGTTCTTTGCAAGTTATATTTATATCCCTCTACTGATGTGTGGCCAGCCTTGTGTTTGTCACTGCAGCAGTGTAGTCACTATTCCCATTTTTAATTGGTGATAATGATTTGCGATTGACCAACGCTATCTTGGAAGTAGGGAAGACTTAAATTTCAGTTGTACATTTTTCTACATAGCACTACAATGTTTATTGCTTTTTTGTGATAATTGATAACCCATTCAGATACATGCACACAATTATTTTAATTAAGAAACTACTATGGATTGCACTGTATTAAATATCAATTAATTTTCATCTGTGGCTACTGTTGTCAGTTCTTGGTGATGCTGAAGTAGTCTGACTGTAACTTATGTGCAGTTTGGCCTCTTCCTGCATGAGTGATGTGCGCTCTTTAAAGTGAGCTGAACTTGGGTTGTGCGACTGGAGCGTCGTTGCGTAAAACTACAGCCTTAGCCGAGCAAAATTGCTGGTGGGCTGCTGTAGCTGTTTTTTCACTGTAATAACATTCTGGTCCACCACATCAAAGCCTCCACCCAAGAAGAAATCAAAGCTGAATTAATGCTAGAAGCAACAGGCTTAGGGACAGAGCTGGGAGCCGTGGCTTTGTATTTTTTTTGTCATAGAAACGGTATCTGTTGCGCACTGCGCTAACCGAGCGTTGTATTTTAAAGCACAGGTATTAGAGGCATTATGGGTGAGCATCTCGAGCGCAGTGAAGCGTCTTAATAGAAGTGATCAGATGTAGCTGGGAGAGGAAGAGAAATCCCGTAGCACTGTTAATGCTCTTAAGGTTCCTGATGCATAAGCTCAGAAACTGTGTGTGGCAGAGGCACCAGCTGGCAACCCAGCTGTTTCCTGGGTTGGGTTTTCTTTCCTCTTCATTCAGCCAATTGCTTAATTAAAGGAAGAACCCGGTCTGCACAGCAAGGAGCAAATGCAGTAACGAGCGTATGTCATGGTTCCTGTTTACTTTTAGCCAGACAGCTAGGACAGCTTTGTTTCTTACAGCCTATTTTTTCCTGATTATTTTAATAAGCGATGGCGTGGTTTCTTAAGCCTACAATTTATTACTATAGCCGAGGTGCTCACCTTTCTGCTTTGAATATCAGTTCCTTGATAGAGTGCATAATATCAGCAAATAGCTAAAGTGCTTAGAGTTAAACATTTTTTCTCCCATGCTCAGGCTCTTTCTGTGGGCAAAACTTACCTGTAAAGAGCACCAAGATGCGACGCAAAAGGCAGCAGCTATCAACTGCCAGCAGCTGTGCGCTTGGCGCCCAGGGCTTCCCCTTCCAAGGCAAGGCAGTCCAGCTCCTGCTAGGAAACCACTCTCAGCTGACTTGCCCTCATCACACAAATTTGCAGCTACATCAGGGTTTTCTTGCAGAGCTGCTGTTAATATGTTAAAGGGGGCAAGCAGAAAACTGGGATCCAGGTATTTTCAGTTTGTGATTAACCCTTGCTTTTTCTAATAGGAAAGGAGAAAAGCATCATTGCTGTTGCATGTGTGTGTGATACCGACGCATTTAAAGCAGGTCTGACGGACTGCATTCCCCTATGACACTTCCAGCAGTCTGCAGGGGGGATGGCTGGTCTCTCTGCTACGCAGGACATTGCAGTTGCACTCTGACCCTAGGGAAGCACAGCGCTTTTGGCGGGAGGTGCAGGGAAGTATTTTGTATTTATGCTGCTGGTTTGAGTTGGGGGATCGGGAAAGAGATCACTGTGTGGTGGCTGCTCAGGATTTCACTTGCACCAAGTACCTGCTTTTCTTTCTGCCTTTAGAACAGGGTGAATGTGCAAAGCAAGCGCTTGCAAAAGGTGGGCCAGAGGGTGACTTCGCCTTCAGCACTTGGATTATAAACCTCAGCACCCGTCTTCCCCTGGGGCTGGGGAGCACTTGTGTTGTGTAGCGGGCGGAGGGGCTGTTCCCTCCCAGGACTAATGGCAATCCATGGCTCTGCCCAGTACTGCTTTATAGGAAATCAGTCTTTAGTGTCGCCCAATGTTTGCCTTTCTGGGTGTAGAAATGGCTTTTCTGTGTGCCTTTCCTGGTCTTCTCTCCAACAGATGCTCTTTCCGGGACTGTTTTAAGACATTCAACTGCCAGAGCCTTCAGCGTGATGTTAAATAGGCAGGAAATAAAGAGGGGCTCCATTAGCCACTGGTGGCAAATCACTCTCCGGTTGCTTAACTGATGGCAAATTTGCTCATTAGTTAATGCATGTTAGTAATGGGCTTTCAGGAGGCGCCTCGCGGGACATCCCTGGTGTGAGCGACAAGAGACCTGGCTGGGCCTTGCACAGGGGCCCTGCTGCAGTAGGAGCAAGGCAATGCCTCATGTGGGTGGCATCAGGTACACGGCCCATCAGGAACCATCTCAGGCTGCGGTGGGGGGCAATACGCTCACTAAAATGTATAGTAGGCTTTTTGGTACTTGGGAAGCGTTTGAGGGAGAGTGTGACTTCTCCAGAAAAAGTCATCGGACCACTGTCTTTGCTGCACCTGCAGGGAAGTGCTGCCCATCTCCCCAAGGACGAGCCTGTACCCTGGCTGCCTGTCCCTAACGGAGCTCCCATGGGCCAAGGGCTTTGCTGCCAGACATGCTACCACTGTTCCTGCGTTCACAGCTCTGCCCTCGCTGCTTGCGGCTGAATGCCCAACGTGGTGTCAGTGAGGAGAGTAGCTCCAGCTGAGAGGAGGAGCTGTTTGTCTGCTCCACCTGCCTCAACCCGAGCGTTTCATGTCCAGCATGCGTGAAGTACCACGCATTGATGAGGGAAGCTGTGTCTGGGGATGTCCCCTGCTGTGCACGGCCACTGTCTGTACCGGTGGGGTCAGGCACGGCTCCAGTGCTGGCCGCCATGGCAGGGCAGGGGCTTACGGCTCTGTGGAGAGAAAGTTTGGGAGCTGGTTCCTGCAGTTGTGCCCGTGCTCGGCAGCAAGTGAAGGTCAGCAGCTGAGAGCCTGCATGTGGCCGTGGTTCACTTCCATGGCGTAGGCAGGGCTGGACCTGCTCCGAGTGCTCTTGGGGTGGCAGTTCATCAGTGTGGCTGCTCCAGGGGTGGAGGGAGAAGTGACTGCTCCCTGCAGGCATGGAGAACCCGTGTCCTCGGTGCAGGAATGTGGATATGGAAGTGGTGGGAGGCAAAAGGCCTTTTTCAAAGGCTGTCTCGGCCACGTTGGTTAGTGCTGCGATGAGAGGGAGCAGGGATGCTTTCCCAGCTCTTCAGGAGCTGCTGCTGCACCCTGCACAGACACAGGGCATAGCATTTCATTTAGGAGTGGGAGCTCATGGCTGTCAGTGGCATAAATCAGCTGCCACGCTTGCCCTTGGGATGTCCTTTTTTGTCTCCATTTCTGCTGGCTGCCACCCCACCTCTGTCACTCTCTCCCTTCCCATGGCATCTTACCTATGCCTGTGGAGCTCCCTCATCCTGCCTCGGGACCTAGTCCTGCTGGGGGGGACAGCCAACCTTATTTCACTGCCAAATAAACCCTGCTTCCCACTCTCACAGCAACATGTGGCAGCTCCCTGGCTCCGTCTCTCCCCCTGCATTGTCTGATGCGAGTTACTGTCTGGTTGCTTCTGCCCCCAGTTTTCCCAACCCTAAGTTCACCCTCAGGCTCCTGTCTACGTTTCGCTGCCGGGCTTCCTTGCAGGACGGGTGGGTGCCTGGGGAGAAGCTGATGTGGGGTGGGAGCTGGGGGCCCCTTGCTCTTGGGGAGGTTGGGGCCCTGATCATCTGTTTTGGCACTGAAGAGCTGCTGTCCTCTGGCCAGCCTGGCCCCAGAGGTCACAGCTTGGGCTAAGCTGCTTGTGCTTCTTTCTTCCTCCTCTCCCTCAGACCTACCCTGCCTGCGTCCCCTGTTAAACCCCACCACAGAAAACCATTGGATGCTCCTGTGATGCTCCATCCTCTGGCGCAACCCCTGCAGCGCATCACCTCCCAGGGTCCCGAGGCCACCTCGTCACCCTGCACATTGCTGGTGCTGGGTAAGTGTTTGACACTGCAGGGCATCTGAAAAGCAGGGCGGGCTGGAGACCCCCTTGGCTGCACCAGGGCTGCAGCGCTGCCTGGCCATGGGGTCTCCCCCCCAGCCAGCCCGTCCCTCCACAGGTCCCCTGGGACGCTGATGCCCCAGGAAGCTCCGTGGGCTTCTCCACCCCTCTGCGGGTACCCCCAGTGTGTGACAGCCCGCTGGGCTACTGCGGCAATGTGGCTTCATCCCTGGAGATATCATCACCAGTTGCAACTCTCCCTAACCCCTTTGCAGACATGTATTTAAATTTCAACCCTTTCATTAAAAACCATCAGCTTATTGGAGCCACTGAATGCAGTGTGGCTTTGAAACGAGCCTGCCTGGAAGAGTGAGCTGCTTCTCGCTCAAGAGGTGTAATACCGCTAATCGATGTAACAGGTTAAACCCTTTTATTGCAGCTCTGCTGAGAGGATCTGAAGTTTGACATTTGTATGCCATGCTCAATGCTCCCTTTCTCCCCTGCTAGTTATTTTTATCAGTATTTTGGTTCTTATGACAAAATTGCACTCTGCTCATCTGGAAAGCTCTTCCCCCCTCTAAATCCTGCTCATGTTCGGCTTATGCTCAGCCCTGTGGCAAATAAAAGAGCCCTCTTGACTTAATTTTCAAACATCAAGGTCCATTAAATCAACGGGATGCTTTCCAGGTCTTGTGGCTCTCAGCAGCCTGTCCCTGTCCCCATCCCTCCCTTGGCTCCAGGCGTTTCAGCTCTGCTGGACATCTCCTGAGCTGTGCAGCTGTCAAGATTTTGAGGCCACATTTTAGGGCATTATCCAAGGTTTCCCCTTGTCTTGCCTGTGCTATGGGAACCTGAGTGATGTCCTCCTATGTGTCATCTCAGAGCTGTAGCCGAGAGCATCTCTTGCTGGCTGTCCCATGGAAGGAGGAGGGGTGGTTGGCCGGATCCAGCTGGGTCTGGGCCCAGCTCGTGCCACCCTTCTGGCCAGCTCATGTCCCCCTTCTGCTGTTCTTGTCTTTCTCCTGCCCTTTGCTACTTGCTTAGCTGTTCTGCACTCATGTTCCTGTTCTCGTTACCTGCTGTGCTAACGGGGGGGCATTCCCCATCCTCCTCCGTGATTGGCTCCATGCATGTGATGTGAGGAGGTTTTGCAGAGGGATCCAGAGAGTGGTCAGCAGGGAGGAGGGATGTGACACGCAGGGCCAAATGGCTCAGATGGATCTTCCCCATCCATGGTGAGCTCTCTAAAATCAGACACCTTCGCAGCTCCGGTCCCTAACTGGGGACAGAC